GGAAAATGTCCTCTCAGCAGAGGGGGCTGGGCTGTCACCAGCCAGGGAAAGAGGGGCAGCCCAGTGCTCCTGGGCCTCACCGCTAGGGAGCCTCACCTCCACTTCCCAGAACTCCTTGCAGGTGTAAGCACCTGCCTCTGCACTGGGCTCACCTGCACCGGGACAAGAGCGCCGGACACCGTCCACACCTGCCCCAGGTGGAGCTTTCTCTCTGGCTGCTCCAGGACCCCAAAGTACCCGCCAAAAGCAGTTTTCCATCCAGGCTTTTGTGTCTCCTCGAAGACACCGTCTTAGAGTCGGGCCACGTGATCACACCAGCTTCCCTGCGATGAACTCCACACGGGGAACTGCAGTTTCCCAAAGCCCCAAGCTGCCTGGGCTGGGGCCTTTACTCTAGGCGGCTCCCCCCGGGAGCCCCACCCCCCACACCCTCTTCTACTGGGTCTGCAGATCTTAGGGAACACGGCACCTCCCTCCTGTATGACAGCTGTTCCTGGATGCTACCAGTCCATAAGGAGGGGTGTGTCTTGCTTTGCTTAGGACCCCCACCCCCAACACCGCGTCTCCCAAACAGCAGAGGCTCAATTCATGTTTTGGGGAAACAATGAGCCGGTGAGCAGGGGCTTTCATTTATGAAGGTTTCATTTCTCCTACACTCATGAATAAGCCAAGCAAATCCAGGTATATAGCTTTTTTTATTTTTATTTTTTTTTCAGGTATATATAGCTTTCAACATTACACAACAACAGACTAACAACGATAAGGGAATCCAAAACTCTTGTTTCTATTTTACTGCTGAGTTATTTCACATTTCCAAAGAAATTCCTGTTCCAATGCCATGTTAGCTTGTTTCACATCACCAAATAAGATACAAGGTTTCCCAATTTGTTTTACAAAGTAACAAAATTTCTTACTCTTGAACCACATAAAAAGTAATAAATGTGTGATCAATGTCATTGATAAACTTAGATTCTGAAGCTAATTAAACCTTATCTATTCAAGGGAACAGCGTTTGAAAAATACCCAAGAGAAAAAGAGGTAAAGCTACAAGTCACCTTTACAGAAGAGGGACACAAAGATGTTATACCCTGGCCCTCCACTACTTGGCACAGTGACCGCCCTCTTCAAACACAGACTAAGGGATGGCCTGAGACTTTACTCGGGGCAGGAAAAGCTGCTGGCCACGGCCCTGGCACTTTCACTGGCCGTGGCACTAGTGGCATCCATGGCAACAACACTGGCCTGGGCTCTCTCATCCTCATCTCTCAAAGCCTCCTCGTACCATAACGGGAACGATCTGGGGTCACTGCCATTGATGTTGGCCAAAAACTCTAGGACTTTCATCTTGCTGGTTTCTGCATGGGCCCTTGGGCCCCACAGGAATTCATAGCGGGTGGGATCGCTGTTGGGCACCTGCCGGTACTCCAGGTACCTCTCCTGCACCCAGTCATCGGTGATGAGCTTCTGGGGCTCCCCGTAGATGAAGTGCTCCCTCCCGGCATATACGCCTATCACACTCAGAGCTTTCCAGATCTTCTCCTCAGGGACACAGTTGCCCTCCAGGAAGATTATGCTCAGAATAAGTATCAGAATGCCAGTCTTGGGCACGCCCTGATCACCACTCAGCGTCCCATCGTACGTGAGGCCCAGTGTGTTGGTGAGGACATAGGAGTGGTTGGTGGGGTCTACTTCCTTCATGTCAACGCCAAAGACCAGCTGCATGCACTCCGAGGCTTCCCTGAAGATCACAGGGAAGTGGTCTTGGTACTCTTTGATGACCGTGGTCAGCATTTCTGCCTCTGTGATGAGCTCCTTCGTTTGATACTTAAAGAGCAGGAACTGCACCAAATCGGCCACCTTATCATCTATCGCATCTCTGAGCAAAGCCTCAGGGTCTGGTGGGGCCTGTGAAATGCTTGCACCCTCCTCCTCTGGGCTGCTGGAGCCCTCAGCTGAGTTGCTGGACAGACTGACTGCCATGGCAGCGGAGGGGGAGCTGGATGTCCGAGAACTCTGGGAAGTACTGGGTGTCCCAGTAGCAGAGACCTCCTCCGGGGTGCTCGGGATCAGAGGATAGCAGGAGGAGGAGGAAGAGGACAAAGGGAAAGAGGAGGAGCAGGTGGAGGAGGAGGAGGCCTCCTCCTCAGCCACAAGAAACTG